CTGTGTCCCGTGAAACAGTTTCTTGATTGGTCACCAATTGCGAATCTCTATAGTTTTTCCTTATTTTGTTAGTATTCTGATTTGGGATGTGTACGGGTTAACCGCAATAGATAGGTTCTGTGACAGGAAAAGGAGTCAAAAGGATAAAACAATCATTTATTGAAAAGGAAGAGAAACGGAAATAATAAAAAATGAATGTAATTCGTCCTAGTCATTGCTATATAAGGTTCTCCAAACAAAGAGTCCGTGGCTATAGACTATTCATTGTTCGTTAAAGTTTTGTCCCCCCCCCAAAAAAAAAACCCCAACAGATTCCTTTTCTAAATTGCTATTTTCGAAAGCAATACAAAGTTATTCACGTTTGAAAGAGACATCAACCCCTAAAACATCGGAATCAGTTTAGTTATTGAATAATTATTTAAAATTGATCTAATTTATGGGGCTGCCGGACAATAACTTCTCTCAGGGGTAGGCTTGTTCCCCGCCAACAATCAGCTTTGATAATGCGCGGACCATCTCCAGTTTGCTCGCAAAATGGATATGTTAATGTCTAAAACAAAAGTCATTTCTTTCAGAGGTTTACAGACGTCCAAGTGGGGGGGGGGCAAACCTTGATCAGAACAAAATGCAAGCGCCAAGCCCTAACGGCGTGGGGTTCGGGGCCCGCTTCAGGGCCCCTAAAAACAAATTGGATTCTAGACGCTCTGCGGTGCGATCTGAGGCAATTTCTGACCACTTTAACCAATTTTGTTAGGAAAATATCATCATTTAAACATCATTTTCGAGTTTGAAATCAATGAACCAGCTATTCTGAGCTATAGAATCAAAAGTAAAGGCTACAATTTTTATTTGGGGACGGAAGAGTGTGCGCGTGTGGGTGGGTGTGTGTGTGTGTGGGGGGGGGGGGGGGGGGCAAATGATATGATATCCCCCACTTTAAAAAGGGGAGGGGACATGTCTCCTCCGTCCCCAAATGATCGACGCCCATGCAGACGTCCAAACCGTGGGGGAGGTTTTGGTTGGAACAAAACAATCAAGTTTGAATTTATTAGAAAGAAAAAAAATAGAATTTGTTAAAGAACACGCGGAACGCAACTTTGACAGGTTAACGTGAAGTCGCAAGTTTTGAACGCCCCCGTGGCCTCTTACATGGAGACTAGTTTCCCATCAAATTCCCTTTACGTTAATTGGGTGAAATTACTGCCAAAAAAACAACTTGTCAAAAAACAAAGAGGCGTCCTATGAAAAACTGAATCCGTTTGGATATTGTCAATTGACGGGTGTTTACTAATGACGAAGCGTTTAACCTTCGAAAGCAATTTACTTTCAAAGGATCCATCAACTTTCGTTTTTGAATTTGTATCTGAATAAAAGTTTGGATTTTTTGTCAATAACGCCAACGTAACAATCTCGCTTAAAAAAAAAAATCATGACGACATCGAGACTTTGTTTGTCTTACCTCAAAATGAGGTCACGTACTAAAAGGAGTTGGGAAAACGTGATTGAAGTCTGGTAAGTTTTAATAATTATTTAAAGATGTGTACCTCATGCAGCTAAAAAAAAATTGATTTTGTTTTGTATGTTTTGTTATAACGAAACAAACAAGCTAATTTATCGCTATTTTGGGCGTCTGCAAATTCCGGAAAAGGATGTTCATTTTGCGCACAACTGAACCCGCCCTGCGAGAGACGAATTGTTGTCTGACAGCCAATAATTCGATTTTTCTCCGTCAAGAAATAATTCAATAACTACGATTTCTCCTGTGGACGCTTAGACCTCAAAACCTCATTCCAATGCCGACCGTGCAACCAAGATCCAACGCAGAAACCATGGGCGTCGCCAGGATTTTTTCTAGAGGGGGGCAAATTTTTTTTTTTTACAAAAATGCTTGTATTTCTCAACACATTCTCGATTTATCAGTTTTAGAGGGGGGCAGGGACATTTTGCCCCCCCCCCAACTCATTAAATTTACACCACTTTGTCTTCGCGCCTCTTTTTCTTTTCTTTTTCTCTTTTTTTTTTCTTCTTTTTTTTTTTTTTTTTTTGCTTTTCCGGGGGGGGGGGCAAGTGCCCCCCTTGCCCCCCCCCCCTCGCGACGCCCATGGCAGAAACACACGAGTTTGGAAAAGGGCGCGAATAACGGACCTTAAACAAACTTGAAACTCCCTTGAATTTCATAGATTTCCACAAAATACTAATAATTTATGATCGTTTTGACCTATTGGTGAGGAGGGGATCAATTCATCATACAATCTATTAGCGTGATTAACTTAGCAGTACTAAATCGAGAGTGGCATTTAATAGTCAAGTGGCTTAGATCCTATTTTTGACAAGATCGTGACCGACTGGTCCAATGCACCAAACTTGGCAGAAAGATTCTTATAGCTTAGAGAAGATATTTAGAAGGAGTGACACCTGATATTCTCTTGGGAAGGGTGCCTAATTTGCATAAATCGTAAATACCTGCCGTGTATATTTATTCCCATATTTTGGTATGTAATAATTTGTATATATTTATGTTGTTTTTAAATCATTTTGGGGATTCTAATTACATATCCTTACATAACATTTTCTAAAGCATATAAGTGACTGGATATTTACGAGGTTATAATGAGAGATCCAAAATGGTTTCCAACTTACCATTAGGCCTATACCCTACCGTTTCCTCAGATATCATGAGGTAGTCTTGCCCAAACTCAGTATAGATGAGCTTCTAATTCACAAAGTGACTTACTGGCACAGTTACCCTAATGAAAGTTTATGGAAAATCCCGTGAACAATGATAACATCATGATATTTAGCCCAGCGCATGGCCTACCACACCTCCCCAGCGCCTTCGTTCCCAACATTTGGAAAATGTTTTAAAGCCAGCAGTCATCAACATTTTTTGATGAAAAAACCCCCGGGATTTATTTAAAAAAAGAAAGAAAAACCAACATTCAAAACGTAGTTGGTCAATTATGCTTCCTCAAATGTGTTCATCAGAGATGGTCATTGGTTAAAAAGATTGAAAGTAAATAGCGACATGACTCCGCAGAACGTCGCACCGTGGGAAATCTAATACCTACATGCTCTAACCAGTGTTTTTACGCGTGTATCCGTATAGAGACGGATGTACCTTAGACAACGGTTGTTAGAGACACGAACGGGAATCTGCTGTGCCATACTGCTACTTTCCCCACCGTTCTCACTTGTTTTGTTGTGTCGTCCAGGTCTGCCCCCGCGACATCCTTAGCTTGGCTACACCCAACAATAGTCCGGTCAATTTACAACAAAACAGGGCCTGACCTGTACCTGGCACTAATTGCAAATTCTAAGAATTTATTTTTACACTGTCACTCAAGGAAGTTTCACTGTTTAACACATTTAAAATCTAATTGAACGGAAAAGTGTTTTTATTCACCTTTTCTTGAATAATTTTTCATCATACGTAAACAGCCGTACTTCGAAGGGCGCCATGTTTTCCTTTCCCGTCAGAAAATCTGTTTCCATCACGCACGAGACTTCGTGAAACACAACTGACCACAGCAGACGACTTTTCTATGTCCGCCAATTATTCAAATATATGGGAAGTTACTTTGCCGTGGTAATATTATCCCACATTTTCTTTAAATCAAGCAGGAAGTTGGCGTAATACTATCCCACATTTTCTTTAAATCAAGCAGGAAGTTGGAGATTTTTCTACTGCCTGAATTATTTATTGGTTAAAATAGATCATTTCGTGCTCAATAAAACCATTTATTTTGGGGAAGATTTTTTTTGGCATTAACAGGTCTACTTGAAACATAGGGCGGACAACGATATAATGCACGAAGTGATCCATTTGAAGTTACATTTTAAGGCGTCCACGCACATAGGCCTGGGCCCAATTTTGAATTTTAGGGATAGGCCTATTTCCAATCCGAAATCTGGGACGGTGTGTTTGTTTACTGAGAAATTTGAGGTCATTGGAATAACTTTATAAATGGTTAAAAATGCATACTCAAAAAGCCTTAATGATGTAAAATAAACGGAATTAAAATCTTGCAGTGACAACTTAGCCGAAGTCTGGCCTTGAAAAAGAAAAGAAATTAGGCATTAATGACAAGTGTATTATCAATATTACAGCCCCCCCCCCCAAATCAAAGCCTTATGCCGGGGTGTTCAAACCAACTTCCCCCACGTTGACTTGGCCTTTGGGTCCCCTTGGCATTTTCCCCCTTCACTGCCTGCCTCCTAATACTGATACGCCTCAGTGAGCTTTCATCACCCATGGACTAGACACTGACACGCCTCACTGATCAGCCAGCATCCCTGCTCAACTGTCGCATCCCTGACTCGCCTCGTTGCTTCCAGTCCCACGACAGTGTACATAACGTCCTTCAGTCTCCTGACGACGGGCAGAGCATACTGTATGAAACGGTGAATTCTTTTCTTGGACCTCACAAACTCACTATGAGATTTGTCACATGGTGCTACCGTGAACCTTTATCTTATCGCTACCTTCGCCATGCAAACCTTCAAGCAAACTAATTAAAGATGGCAAAAACGAAGGTGGATTTCCCTGGGTTAAAAATACAAAGTTACAAAGCGAATCAGTCAGTCAGTAAAAATATCTTCAGACGCGTTTGGTTTCAAAGAAACAGCCAAGTTCGGATCGGGGAGACAAATCTTGGAATAGTAAAACCGGAGTATCCTTAAAATCGGAAAAAACTACAGACGAGGGCAGGTTGAACCCCATTTTAATTTCCTCGAACCGTACCCGAATCCTGTTGCGTAGTAACCACAATGTACATCCTCCCGTGATACAAAGTGTTCATCAGCAGTTTGCAGCTAAAAGAACAACTTGTACATGACGTCAATGAGTGGTTCCGGTAATAGCCAATCCGGGGAATTTTAGTTTTTTGTTTTGGGGTTTCTTTTTTTTTTACGTTCCCTATTACTTTCGCGGTTTTATTTTATTTCAATATATGTTTAAATTAAATGTTCTCTAAGGTTGCGTCATTATGATCCCGGAGCTAGAAGCCTATATAAGAGGCACTTGTCAGCTCTACATACAAAACGCTCTCGGTAACTCATATTCGCCTAGTGCAATTATACATTAATAAGCGATTTATTCATCGCATTATTGCTTCAGCTAACGACTTGTTTTCTCAGAGTGTTTACACACACTGCAATTTGTTTTAACAATGTTTCCAGCCGGGTTTTCCGTGTGCCTCTTGACTCTCACGTGTTTGTGCCTTCTTGAGATGCCGTGGCCCACCTCGGCTCTACCGCTACACCGGCTTCTGGCGGCGAGGCGCCCGTCCAGGAGTGTGAGCGCGCTGAAGAGGCACGCTTCCCACATGGCTACCGAGGCCGCGACGGTGGTCGGTTTGACAGACAGCCTTCACCTGACCTACGTGAGTATTCTTTGCTAGGTATAGGGTGGGGTTGGGTGTAAACCTTGTCTGGCTTAGGCTACATCTCTGGCTCCAGAATCATATTCAAGCCTTTAAAAGCCCAGCCAATAAAATTGAGTATTAAACTTAAAGTTGCATTCTCAGTGCTATTTTCGAGTTTCGTCTCGAAAAAAATAGATATCTTTTCTGGCGTGCTTTTCTAAAAAGTTCTAAAATGCATTAAAGTGCTTTAAAAAAAAGCATTCGCTTTTTTATAGTAACGTTTAGTATTACTTTACAAATCTCAAATTACTTGTGGTCTGACAACAATGCCGTTCTTGGTTCCCGCCTCACCATCAGTATCGATAATATACAGACCGGTAACCAGTCTGCTCACAAGGCAGATCTGTTTGTGCCCTAGATAAAATAATTTAAAAACGTCCTAGGGTTGCAGACGCCCTAAAAAAATTTAAAAAAATAAAAAGATTTGAAATGTTATTTATATGAAAAAAAAAACTGTTGTCGAAATTCTTGAAGAGTTTGGGGAAACATCTTTAGTATATCTAATATGAATATATAATTTTTTGGATATCCCTGCTGAAGATAACAATAGACCTATAAAAGCTGAGGCCGTTGATAGCTAGGTGAGGACTAAACATCTCTGGAGCCGATTCCACACACGTAGCCGAGGTCTGCAAAAATAATGAGCAATGCGAGGGCGCCCTTTCGTTCGTTCACACCCCGAGGGACATCTGTTTTTGTAATCATAACAATGCGTTCATTCAACTAACGGATGGAACTTCCTCTCGTTTGTCAACCTCGAGCGCCATCTTGCAAGGTTTGCCACAAGGGCATACATTTAAGCCGTGGTTGGCAACAGATTTGGCCAAAACTTGCGTATTAACACCCCGATTCTAAGAAAGAGACATTTTTATGAGGTCCTTCGTAGCGTTGTTGGTTATTTTGTATTTTCAACAATGACAATTGTTTGGAAACATTTAAAACTTATCCTTATTTTTGCAACGCTTTGTTTTTGCATTTATACAAATTTATACAAATTTATGTTTGTTCTAAAACAGATGAGTGCTCGCTTCAACGGAGACAGAACGATTCGCAGCGACGAATTAACAGCGCCCTCTATAGAGCTTCCAAGCACTTACACAGTTGCCGCAATTATCTCGGTAAGTTTTTGTTTCTTCACGATATAAACATATTCAGTATTATGGTGATCTACCTATCTGACTGACTGACTCCCCGACTGACTGACTGTCCCTTGTGAGCCTGGCAGTGCCATCGTATAGGATTACCCCGTTACGTCACTGAATGGGCTAAATTCGACCCATCGTGTTGACAAGATGCATGACATGAGTTCCAAAACCAATCTAATTAAATTGAATGGGATTTAGTGCGCCCTTGTCCTGCGACAAGCTTTAATAGGCTTGCAATTTTTTTGGGGGGGGGGGGGGTTGAGGGGTATAGCGATCTTTTGTGTGTGTGGGTTATTTTAAGTTTAGACCTCTAATTTATATGACTCTCATTGGACATAATGTGTCATGTGACCTGGGTCAGCTTTTCTGTGTGCGCACAAACTGTGCACATTACATGCTCGTGTATCATTTACGACATAAAAAAAATGACATACCGACAACACTTTGCGACGCCCGCGTTTCCTGAAATGGACAAATGACCACGAACTTATATTATATGCGCCGCTTAAACATTTTATGTCATCTTAACACAGGACACCGAGATAGTGCGACGTCACTACGACAATTTACGGAGATACAAACAAGTGCTGCACGCTGTTGGCGAGACTGAGTCGGAGTTCTCTCAAAGAATAGGCGAAGTTGTCGAGGACTTGGACCAACTGATTGTCAGAGTTGGACAAATGGTAAGTGGCTGTAATTAAGTGCGCACTAGATAGCTCGCGCGCCCTCCATAATTTTGGGCCTCCAATCATGGCCTCTTCTTCGTTAACTATGTTCAGCACGTAAAGCTCCTCGCGTTTTATCAAGATTTGACGCAAGGATACGTTACGGGTCTCTCAATATCACCTTGTGACTTTAAACGTCGAGATTAAAGTTAGTGACCGGACCGATGAACCAACAAGTTCGACAACCTTTTTTGAGTTCAACGCACAAAAAGATCGGAACCCGTGCGCGTTGTGATTTTTTATTTTGACTTCCAGAAATATGGACTCTTTGGACGTACTGTGCATGCCTCGGTGCATATAAATGAAAAATGCATGTGTGGGGCCTTGATTTCATAGTAGTTCAAAGCGACCATATCCCACAGAAGTCAAAAGTGTATACATCGGAACAGAGCAACCCAACACAGAAAAAATTCCAAACCCAAGTAACCAATTCCCCTTTTGGACTATTTTTTCCCCCACCCAGCATGAATTGTTCAACCAGTCAATCGGGAATTCACAACCAGAAGCCGTCGGTGCCTACCCGCAAAACACGGAGCGCAACACACGAACTCTGTTCGTGCTGCAAGAGTTCAAGACCTACATGTCCCAAGTGGTCGACGACTATGTACAACTCTCCAGCCACCTCTAGAACCAACCCAGAGCTCTAAGCCAAGGCACAAGGTGATCCAGTATCAAGTCAAACCCCAAGCAAGACTTTCTTGTGACCAAGCTTGTAATATTTGCATCGTGATATGACTGGTACACGTAATGGATTAAAAAAAAACACAATACGGTTTGTGCAACAATAAAACACCAAGAATTTCGTGGGATGCAGATTGATTACGTATCCTTACTGAAATATTTATGCAAATCATTTGCATGTATTTATAAACTCTTTCAATTACAAATTTTAATATATTGAACTTGTATTTTTAATATATTGAACTTGTATTTTTAATACATTGAACTTCTATTTTGAATATATCTAACGCATATAGTATTATATTTATATGAATGTATGTATTTATTCTCAATGAACGTGGGATGCAGTTTGATTACGTATCCTTACGGAAATATTTATGCAAATCATTTTGTATGCATTTATTAACTCTTTTAACTGCACATTTTAATATATTTAACTTGTATTTTTAATATATTTAACATATTTATTTATGTGTTTATTCTCAAATATTTTGCAAGTGTGTGCTTTAATCAAAATAATGTAAAACTTTCGATTGAAAACATTCCTGACTACTGGTATTCGTATGACTTCCGATGCACTCTCAACCAACAGGTTGTCAAAAAAAGGATAAGAGTTATTTATATGTAAAATGGAAAAATTCGTATTTAAAAGGTTTTTTAAATATTATAATTGACCACGTGGTCACGTGACATTCACGTGACTTCGGAAAGTGAGTGGGTATCCCACCTAATGAGTATAAAAAACAAACCTGTGTTTGGTTTCGTTTTCGAAGCTTATCCGAAAGTGTAAGTCAGGGAGTATCCGATATCGTAAGAATGTATTATTTATTAATGGTACCATACCTAACTCATATATTATTTATATCAACTGACGCTCAATGCTACCGTCACATGAGTAAAATAAATGAAGAAGTTAGACCTGATTCAAACTGAACAAAAAGTGAACAGCTGTTGATTTCTGTCCTTAATTCGAAGTCATTCGTTTTACTTTCAGACTCGAATAAGAGTCTTTACTTAGTATGAGAACATGGTTTGCCACGGAACTTCGTGATGTGAATTATCATTGCTGCTAATGTGCTGGGTATATCAAGCAACTTCCCGGTACTAGGAGAAACTTCTTCTTTTTTATAATCAGAAGTGTACTTATTATATTCAGAAGATATCTTTATGCCATCTTTGAAAATAACGAAATTTACCCCCCCCCCCAAAAAAAAATTACAAAGTTATGGATTGTCCATACGTTCGAAACAATATATTGTTTGTCTTTCTTTAATATGGCAATGAGTCCAACATGTCTATAAAGAGATCATCATAAGTCTTTCAATACGAAATGACTTGTATTGAAATCTGCTGACTATTAATAGACCCCCACCCCTTGTACCGGGGCGCCCTCACCGACGGCAGATTTTGTTATACAAAAAATCAGTGTCACCTGCCCTCAGATGTGACGTCAGATGCCCGGGTGTTTTGAGGTTATTCTTTTTATAACCATACGTATGGTCATAAAAAGAATAACCTCAAAACTATTCCAATGGACAACACCTGACCCGTCGAATGTCACGCCTTAAAGGTACAGTCCATCATTTGCAGCTATCCAAAAAGTAACTGACCAAATTATTGTTGAAAAGCATACTTGGTTTAAAGATAGTGAGGGGACTAAACTCCCTGTGAAGTTATTCTTTCTGGCAAGCTGTCATTTTGAAGAAAACATTAAAAGAAGGTCATTTCCAAGGATGCGTTTTTAGACTCATTTTTTTGGAAATTTCCGTTAGTAGTTCGTGTTTAATTCGGCGAAGCCGTGAATGTGTGTGCGCAAGCGTTGACACGACGCACACGCGCGCGCGGTTGCTATTATTAGTCAGTTCAGTGCGTGACACCGTGTAGTTGCAATCGGCTGAATAAGAACGTGTCCCAGACGCTGATTTCGGGCGCAGTTTAAACATGAACAGGCAAATTTTGAATTAAAAACAAGATCCTAGAATATTGTTTTTCTCGGAGTATATACAGCATTCACTGAGCCGAAACCCCATCGGGTCAGTTGTTAAGCACCCTTCTTTAGATTTTGAGCATTTCTGCTGCTTCAAACGAAAAAAAATGCACAAATTAATGATGTTGCCTAGTCTACATACCTTTAACATACACGCAACACCGACTGTCGCGTTTTGCGATCAGCAAATCAGTCAAGGAACACCAAACCCACATAATGTTTTCCTGCCCGGGGTACGATTTAATCAATTTTACCTGACAGTAGATCCGGCCGTTAAAGTCTCCCTGTTTCACCTCCATCTTGAGTGCAAACAGGAAGGTGGAGGCGTACAGGAGGATGCTGCCCAGCGCTATCATGTTGTTCAGCTGCGGGCTGGATATCTTGATGGCACTGGCAGAGAAAACAAAGAATAGCCGTTGTTTGATTGGTTCAAGAGAAGACCCCCATTCAATAACCCGTTGGAAAGGGAAACAATCTTAGATTGCGTATTAAAAAAAAAGACCGATATTGTGTCTTACTTGTTCATGACCCAGTTTTGATATTTTGACAGGACATTAATTTGAGAGTCTTTGAGAGGGGAAGAACGTTTTAATGCTCGAGTGATTGGAATGAAACATCTTAGATTGTGTGTTCTAGAGATCATTTTAAGTTGACTGTATCCAATGCACTTGTCTTTAATTGTTCATGACCCAATTTCAACATTTTGACAGCCTCGAGGTTATTCTTTTAAAGAGGGAAAACAATCTTTTCATTGTCGCAACTGTTCTCGGCAGGGGATAACAATGTTAAATTGCAGAGTGACGTCACGCGAGGTCGTCTACAATAGCGACCGTTCCACACAATGTCCCGTCCGCCATTTTTACCGTACATTCTTCATGAGCGATTTAGGTGAACACATTCCAGTTGAGATTTTACAGACATTAAGAAGAATAAGTAATACCGAAAAATGGGACAGACGTTCTCCGGGATTAATTTTGGCTCCGTGGATAACGGGTGATACTCAGACTATTTGCACTGCTACATAAGGCCAGAACGCATGTAGTCGACTCGGCAACGCGTGCCCGCGGTGGCGTATGACGTAACCACTTCTAAGGCGTATTGAACGTGGACCAACTCAATGTTATTGTTTACGTCACGGTATTAACAGTTTTTCGGTGTTTTTTAGGTGAAAATAATTTTCACTCGATACTTGCCCTTTCAAAAATGAAAAAAAGAGAAAAGAAGAGAACAAGGATTCACGAGTTTTACGTGGTTTAAGCAGTGGTTGGTTTATATACTCAATTGGTTGGTTTCAAAAAAATAATAGCGATTTTGATTTTATAGAACAATTGGGAATTGTCATTTAAGAATTGTATAAGAAATTCTCCTTTCTTTCTAAACAACAGCCAACGTTGTATGAAACTCCCCTAGCTGCTCAAACTTCCCCTCCCAAAAAGTACATCTTGAAATGAGTAAGTCTGGGCATTGCCGTCAAGTCAATCAATTGACTGTTACAATTCCAACCGGCTGCAGCAAACGCAATTACAAACGTTTTTTTCGTTTGTTATAAGCGCGTTTCGTTGGCAGAAATAACGCTTGTCAGCGTTGATTTCTGAACTCCCTCTCAGGTGTTGTTCTGGCCTAATGTGCCCTCCGGCTGTCAAGCCCCGGTCGACAGGCTTGCCCTCGCCCCCTGTCAGATCGAATACTTAACAGACATAGCATCGCTTAATTTGCCTAGAAAACATTTCTGTTTATAGGCTTTGTGGCGGAGGACACTTGGGTAAATATTTTGATTCGCTAAAGTTTGCCGTGACGTCGTTCTGCAGTTTTCTAAACCCCTTTCCCGATTTCAAAACAGAAGAAGATAGAATCTTTCAGGTTATTTAATACTCCAAACATACGCAGGTAGTATCCGTGCCCTTTACGGCAACACAAATTGACACAAATTATGGAAAGACAGTATGAGGGAAAAAATAGTTAAGAGATAGTCAGCAAAGCAAACGAGATTCAACTTTCCTGTCGCATTGGGAAAATGAATATGGCTCGATCTGACAAATTATGTCAAGATTTCAATCATCGCAATTTAAGTGAACTCCAGTCCCGGTTTTTCTCCGTCAATTTATCCATCTGGCGAAGGCTGATCGCATTTCCCACGTCTCTTTCCATTAGGTCTGATAAGGGTCAAAATAAATTGCACCCTCTCTCGTCTCTCTCCCGAGTCAAAAAGAAATAATTCAATTCAATCATTGTTGCTATCTGCTGTGGGTTTTTTTGCCCACTTGATATCACCAGCGGACACTTGACGCGATTCCGGTGGTTATTATTCTGGCCGGGCGAACGACCAATTACCGGCCGGGTGAATCGGCCGCGGCCTCGGGTACCCACTCGGTCGCCCGTGGTCCACGCTCTTGTTCATCTCCTCTATCTCTTACGAATTTCCCGTTCATCAGTGGTCAACATTTCAATAAGAACAAATCGAGTTGGTTAGGATTACTATTTGGTTTAGTGAGCACATACTACCAACGTGCAGGTGCAGCACAATGTAAGGAAAGAGAGATTTAATCTCTTTTGAGTCAATGATCATAATCTTTTGAGTAACTCTTTTAAAGATGAAAGCAACCGCTGTTTTTTGAAATATTGAAAGTAAATGGCACCTGATGAATCATGAGGGATGAGATTTGTGCTTGGTTACATGGACGCTTCTGGCCTTGGGTTATGACAGAATCGATACCGAAGTGATTTGATATTGGTATCGATCCAGACTGATCGCTCAAGCGTAATGATTTCGTTTCGTCGGTAATTTCTCAAGGTGAAACCGCAACATCTTTTGTAGTATCGATTCTTCTGTACTCTGCGGTTGGTTTAATTAAAGTAATCGCAGTCTGTGATCGAATCGTGAGTTCTGAGAGCCCCGTATCTGGTCCTGTGGATCGCTGGAAATTAAATTATCTTTCTTCTTCTTGCAGATTTTGAGGCGCGGCTTCTTGGACTTTGTCAAAGACTGAGTGCATGGTATCGATTTCGGGAATCGATACTAGGAACTTGAGAGAAAACGCAGAGTCAATGTCCTAATGCAAGTTACAAAAGTACACGAAAAACAGAAAACTTTACAACCCTTTCGGCAACAGTTTAATAATTAAATCTTACTTATCAAAATTTTTCTTTTTAATTATGAAGTGCCCTGGTACGAACTGTGACGCATGTTGCCCTACACTGTCAAAAAGTGAACGCCAAAATTAATACATAAACTAAGCTGGATCCAGACAAAAGGCTGAACCTTTCATAATTTTTTTATTTTTTTATTTCCCACTCTTCAGAAAGGAGACCTATATCCCTTTTTCGCTCAGCTCATTGGTTGGTTGTTTGCAGAACTTGGTACTCGGAAGAAACGTTCGATCCTGAACAACGAGGCAGCTGTTAACTAGTCCTTGCTTGGCTAGAAACGACCAATAAAGTCGAACGGCGGTTAGCTTTCTTTTTTGTTTGTTACAAGAATCGCGTAAGATTGATCTCTCTCGGCGAATGTGAGCAGCAAGGACGAGGTTGCGGCGTGGATGCGATCTCGCGGCCACATCATACCGGTGCAAGCCGCGCTGCCGCCCGGTCTGAAATGTCGCAGTGCCCCGGTCAAATACCGACAACTTTGATCAAACTATTGGTTACACGGAGTACTTGGGGAAAAAAAATGAATAGTGTGTTTGGTAGAGGTTATTGGATAGGTCCACCGATGCATGACAGATTGAGTGATATACGTCACCCCTAATCTCGAAGAACTCATCAGATTGTGAAAAATTCACTCATTAGTGTCGGTTCCCGTCGAGTGTCATCAGATGTCGTAATGAGATCATCATTTATCTCAATGAACCGTTGGTTGGCGCGACTGTTCCATCAATATTTTGTCGTACAATATTTCATTTATTCATTCGCCGTAATTTGTTTTCTGTGGTTGCTCGAGTTTACCTTTCCAAATTGGTAGGAAAAAAACTAAGTTGGGCTCTCCTACCAGTTCCAGCGCGACAAATAACAGTGATGAATATAATTATCTTCTAATGTATATACAAGGCACTTGGAATCATTTTAAAAAGGACCACCTTCCAAAAGTTTCGGCATGCCCCAAGTAAAATTGTTCATTCCAAAGATAAGAATTAAACTGAAATAATTTTCAAATAAAGGCACAGCATTGTGGCCAAAGACTGTCGATACAAGCCGACTTGATGGTGAACAAACATGTCAAAAGAATAGAAAGGAGATGTAAACAGCCCAAGAAATCGGTAAGTTAAAAGAAAGCCACATCATCCGAAAAGAGTTGCCAGTACTTTTTGTAAGTTTTATTCAGCCTTTTTATTCGTACCGTGGAGCCTTACCTGCGGTTTTTAAAGTAAGTATTACAGCTGAGGAACACCAATGAAAGAGCCATGCCGAGGCCGGATAAGACGAAGACGACAATCTTGATGCTCTGCTCGATCTGCAGGTGAGTCTTAGTGAACGTCGGTCCGTCTACGGGCCGGAAACCACCTGTTGTGGACAAAAATGAAGAGTAAGGCAGCGTCCGAGTTTCTTTGCGATAGGCCTTATTCATTATGAAGCCATTTTCGATCGTGTTCCCTGAAACAATTTTACAAATTGTAAACTGATGAATGGGATGGTGCCAGACTATTTTATGATTGGAGTGCGAGCCACGCCTCACTTTCATTTTTTTAAATGTGGATTAAAACATTTTAAATTTTAAATTATTAAATTTTAAATTATTCATCAAAGCACTCTGGTATTAATAACTGTTATGTCATTGCTTTCATTTCTACTCGCAAGTTCCAAAAATGAAGTGTTGACCTCGCTTTCAATTTAACATGGCCGACTGGTGAATAAAGTCTATATAGGTAACACACGCGTCTACGGGAAGGGGCTGCAGTCGCTTATATGGACCTTATTCACCAAGAAGCCATTTTGGTCGTGTTCCCTGCCTGAATGCATTGTAAAAATTGTGAACTGTTGAATGAGATGGTGCCAGACTATTTATTCATTCTAGCCTCCCTTTCATTTATTTTTAATGTGGCTTTAAAAAAAAAGACTTGGTTAATCACAACATTGAAATTATTCATCAGAGCAGCCCGGTATTAATTTGTAATTAACTTTATGTCATTACTTTCATTTCTCTTCGCAAGTTCCAAAAACAAAGATTTGACCTCGCTTTCAATTTAATATCGCCGACTCGTGAATAAGACCTATAGCCGCTCGTGTAGTTTTCCGGCCGTAGCCAACTGATGCGGACACGGCTTAACAATCATGACTGCAAAGTGTGCAGGCAGTGATGAAATATACCGAGGCTAGCGGTTACACCCAAAGGGATAAAAACAAAAACTTCCTCCGGAGACGATAGCAGCTCGTTGCAATTACAAAGAGGGAGCTCAGAAGATGGGTGATAATTTCCTCCAAGTAGGTGCCCGAATCCATGGAACAAGCTTCCTGTTGCTCTATGATCTGAGAGAGCAGATTCGGTTTTTCTTTAAGACCGTCTTGATTGCAATTTCACAGGCCCAATTTCATGGCGCTGCTAAGCTGCTTAGCACAAAAAAATGTTGCTTATAAAAGCAAGTTATCAGCCAAAACTCCACGTGATTTTCATGCTAAGCAAGCAAACAGCTGAATACTAATCACGAGCAATATACATCACATGGAGTTTTGGCTAGTAACCTGCTTTTATAAGCCAGACTTTTTTGTGCTAAGCAAATTTTTGTGCTTAGCAGCGCCGTGAAATTCTGATCATTGGTAAAAGTCCGCATATATTTTTTAAAGACAATTCATGTTACCTTCCCAAACGAATTCCGAGATGGGTTTCACATTCTCCGTCGATCCGTCGTACGTGAAAATTTGCTTGATGGTGCCGGGAACATCTGGGAGGATAATAAAAAGTATTAGAACATTTGCAACTATTCTTGAATACAGAACAATTTCACAATAAAGTATAAGAAGTCTTTGTTTGGACTTATATTGAAGCTGTACGTCGTTATGTTCTAGATTGAAAATAGAATTACAAAGCACACAAACTGAATTCAAAGTTTAATTTGTCAGTTGTCCAAGGATGCATAAAGTAGGCCCGCTAGCTCCTGAAGCGTCGAGGCCGAGGCTGAGGTTACCTCACCTCGTATTTGTTGGACCACAGCGTCGCTCTCCCTAGCTCCGTACTCGTCAAATGCCACCCGTCCCTGAATAAAAAACGAAGCTAACATAAGACCAATATTTGGTCAGGGCAAATATGTTTTATTTCTGGGATTATCTTCAATTGGGCACGCCAACGCTTGTCTTACGTGCCTAAATGCAAACCACTGAGGGCACCACAGAACCATAAACTCAATTTGTCTTTGAAGGCCTACTATTAAACGCTCTTTGACGGCAAACCGTCAGAGTACAATTACACGAATCACAACAATTGATTTGGTGTATCCTTCGACTATATTATTAATGCAAAACATATCTTAATCTTTATATTTTCATCTGATGCATGATCGCTGGACCTAGCATAAAAAAACATAAACCAAGTTGTTGACAGTCGTGTTAGTCAGAAAGAAACAGGTTCAGAATATACCTGCGGCACTCTTCAAGGTTGACACTTGCATCCACTTATCAGATGTAACCTCTTCCATCATTGAATTGAAGTAGTTGTTGCTGCGAAAGCTTACGCAAGTTGAAATCACTTAAGTCATTAAAGTGGTACATATTCTATTCCATAACAAAATCCCTCCCTGGCTCAAAAATTGTGACAATCTAGCCAATGACATCGGACTCGAATAAGAGTCGAGTTTGCACTTGAAAAAATAACTGCATGGCCAGCGGCGAGAGCTCGTGCTGAAAATCCTTCACGCGACACTCACATTTTGACGGATCCTGGCTCAGAGGATAAACCGAAGCCACTCAAGAAAAACACGGTTGCGTCCTTAATGGACTGAAATACTTGAGCAACTGGACGGTCCGGCCAAGCCAATGCATTTGGAAGATTTGTGAAGGGTTTGCGACGCATGTGTCATTGACACGAGTGGGGCTTTTTGAAACGAGACAACGATATGTTAACACTCACCGAAGCCCCTTGAATAGCTTGGCTTTATTAACGTCTGGATTTTATGGGTGCAGACCCGAAAAAATCGACTCCCACAGACGATAGACCCCATGGTAATTACGCGTACTTCCAAACATGATTTTACTACTCACAACTCTCCAAAATGTTGGAGACACCCATCAAATTAAAGCTCATTTCACCATCTTCCATTTTCTGTTCATTTTGTTTGTTGGGGGGGGGGGGGTTAACTGATGACTTTTGGGGGAAAATTCCATCCCAAGATGATCAGCCCCAACAGCAGTCCTGAAGCCCATCGCCATTTTAAAAATGGACGCCAACGCCCCATTGCAAAATAGAACCATTTTAGGGCCTAATTTCATCCAGATTTCACAGAAATATGAGCTTGCAGTCCTCTTCTCTTTTTTACAAATCCTCAAATTCACGGCCCTCAAAATGCTCTAATTCCTGAGAATTTGAGGGCATACAAATTGTGATTTGGCTCGCGTAGGCAATTCTGGGCCTTTTGACAGATCTGCACCTTTTTAGGAACACATTTTTTTAACAACTGCCATCGGGTTTTTTAAAAAAGAAAACAATTGCGTGAATCTCATAATAGATCCCCTTCCGGTTATATCAAAGTGAATGTTGATAAATCGATGTAAAACTGTCCCAGAATGTATTCTTTAATGAGTGACCAAAATCAGCATTGGCATCAGTACATGGCTGATGTGGAGGGCTGGTGTTATTAAAAGATGTATTGGGGAAAAAAAAGAATCAATTTGGAACATTCGAATGCATCATCTTGTTCATTTGTCACGAGTATTTTTTACTCGACCAATATCGCGCGGCTATGCGAGATCTGAGCTACGCACAATTCAAATTGATTTTGCGTAGCTGTAAAAATGGCGGGAGTTATTTGAAGAAGTCAGTTGCAAAGCGTCACTCCGAGAAATCAGCTGCTTTACCCGGTTGCTTCACAATTTTCTGTTATGGGCCTCAACACAGCTTAAGGGATGGTTATTGCAAGCATAATGTTTGAGAGAATTCCCGATTTCATTTTCAGTTCACAATGCTGTCCCAAACGTGAAGTAATACTGAGCGCTGATACATCATTTTACTCCAACACAACAAAATGTGCGTTATCAAAATACAAGACAGTGGAAGTAACTTTCGCAGCAACGTTTTCCAATGGCGTCACGTGCCGGAGTATGCATGCTGATGGCTGATATAAGACTGAAGACAAGACTATAAAAATCATTGGCTCATCAGTCGTAAGATGAAGCCGTTGCTAGATGCCTGTGCGCGTTTTACTAAACAATAGTTTATACCAACAGCGAGGTAAAGGGAACTACAATCAGCAAGATAATTAATAGGCCAAAAGGTTTATAGTAGAGCGACCTGCACTCTTCGCATCCCTAACATTCCTTATCAAACTGATTCTACGAAAAATAAAAACTCTGCAATGTCCACGTGCACTGCTGCTTGATAGCGCTTTAATGACTGGCCGATAGTACGCTGCACTTGTCAATCTAATAAGGCCGATACCATATTAATTATGAAAACCCAATGGGAATATTCAGAAAACAATGTCATGATTGAAGGCGGTAAACATGATGAGGAAATCTATAGGAAATCTCATTATGCCCTTTCCATTATTGCATGTTCCCATGGGTAAATCAATGAAGCCTAATTTGGACTAAATTTGATCAGCAGCAGACCACATCGTCCCTAGATGGCACACTGTTACAGTCTCGTGTATCGTGCTCAGTAATGAGATAATGTATCGTGCGCAACAAGATAAGGGAAATTTCTGAATGGCTATTCACCGGAAGTCTTTTCATACATCATGTTTTACTGCCGTCACGGATAACTCCCAGACGACAGCACTAGATCTATACCATGCAGTGATGGAGTCGAGAGCAGAGTGGCCGAGACCAAGACCAAGACCAAGACCAAGACCAAGACCGAGACCTCAAGGTCCGAGACGGAAAGCGAGATAGAGACCGAGAAAAAGTGGTATCAAGACCGAGACCGGTCTCGAGACTTCCATCACAGCACTGTACTATTTAACAGTGTTGGAGTCGAGAACCCTGTCCGAGACCAAAGACCGAGTCCAAGACCAACCCCGAGACCTCAAGGTCTGAAACCGAGACCTCACGGGCCAAGACCGAGACTAAGACCGAGAAAAAGAGGTCTCGAGACTGGTCTCGAATCTGAGACTGGCATCGAGACCTCCATCACTGCACTGTACTGTTTAACAGCGTTGGAGTCGAGAACACAGTGTCCGAGACCAAGACCGAGACCAAGACCAAGACCGAGACCTCAAGGTCTGAAACCGAGACCTCAAGGGCCAAGACCGAGACTAAGACCGAGAGAAAGAGGTCTCGAGACCGGTCTCGAGACTGAGACTGGCATCGAGACCTCCATCACTACACCGTACTGTTTAACAGTGTTGGAGTCGGGACCACAAGTGTCCGAGACCAAGAACAAGACCAAGACCTCAAGGTCCGAGACCGAGACCTCACGTTTATTCGTGTCAGTGTTAAGATCATCTATACTGTAGGCTCAAGTTCATTGTTGCAAAACATTATATAACTATCAAATGTCACGGTGGTTACCCTTTCAAATATTAAAAATGGGCTTCATTGTTAGCGCAGTCTTTTCAAACGGTAATGTTCAAGCATGCATTGGTGCATTTTGTGTTGAGAGTATGCCTCCGTGGACAAACAGGTTTCGCACATGAAATGTTCAAACTGCCATAGCTCAGATACAAATTGCAATTGCAACCATTTTTTTGTCACTCATGCTTAAAGGTCAGTACTTTAATAAAAAGTTTCAAATAAGTTGTAAAAATACGTGAAAATTGCTGTCAAAAGAGGATTTCCTATATTTTGAACCACCCTGTATAGCAGACAATGGTGCCCACACGTATAATGAAGCTATATGTCCAATAACCGTTTTATTCATAATGTTTTATTCATATTATAGCGAATGGCGGGGAGGACACTTGTTCCCCTCGAGTGTCATTAAAACGAATTCCCAACTTACCGTGAGTCCGACGAAGTCCACCGACCGTGTATGCTCCCTGAACACTTGGGCCATTTCGGCGTCGCCGTAGGTGAAGTCCTCCAGCCGGCGCGGTGGGTCCATCTGGGCGAGGGTCTGGATGGAGGCGTTCAGGGCCAAGGCGATGGTCACGATCTGGTCGTAGCCGTACGAGTCGCAGGCGCCGGCCGTCAGCAGCTGATCCTGCAAGAAGGCGTAGTATCCTAGGTGCTTCTCTAGAGGGCGCTGTAAGGGGGGGGGTGTAACGACATAATAAGTGAAGGTGTTAAATCTTCATTAGTCACACGTGCTAGTGTGAGTTTGTCTTACATACGCAGTGTGGACTTCCGAACAAAAGACGTCCACATAATGTAGGTAGCACCGACGTTGTGTGGACTTACCCCACGTCCACACAGTGTTTCCCCATTTCTGGAAAACAGGTTTAGAGGCATTTTTGGGTTAGGTTTATCTGTAGCAGAATGAAGAGAAACACTAAAGGGAATCATAGAAAAAAAATTGGGTTGAAAGAGTTTTCACAGTTTGAGAAAAATGAGTTTTTTCACTGGTTTTTCTTAACTACACGAAAGCAATGGAAAGTCCACACTAGTCATGTGAAACAAGTATGGGTGTGTATGTGTTTGGCAACTGGTGTGAAGGTGTATCTCCGATGCCGCTAAGGTTAACTCGTAAAAGGTGTTAAGTCTATACACTTTTGGTGTAAATTTAAACTTTACACTTTTGGTGGACTGCATCAAGGAGAGCATCAGAATTATAAAATCATAGATGTCAGATGCAACAGGAACAGGAAAATAGTTGAACCCAAATTTACAGAATGGCAAATTATTTTTAAACATACGCACCACGCCATTGAAGTTAATAAGGGACATGTCCTGCTGTATCTCGAATCCCCTGATGCTGAGCGAACCCATGACCACCTTCTCTACCTCTTCCACCGTGCAAATGTCCACGCCACTAGCTTTGAACTTCTCGATCTCCTGCACCCACCAGCGGACGGGGCTGTACCACCCCAGCAGGATCCAGACGTACTTGGGCCCGTAGTAGCCCTTCCGGTACGCCTGGTGGGTGAGAAAGAAAGACGGAGTCGAGTCGAAATCTGAGTAGAGTGAAATTCACGTTTGATACGGCATTCGTGTAATTCACATCGAATGTTATGTTCAGAGTACTGTGGGAATACACCTTCGAGCCCTTTCAATGGAGCAACCATTATGCACGCTATTCTACAAAGCAACTGCTCTGTTGCGGATTATCTGAACAATAGCAAGCACAATGCTTTCGCCATTTAAGGGGGACTCCGTGATAGAATTGATAGCGTGCTCGGATTGGTTTACAGGCAACGGCGGATACAGAAGTTTCCAAAAGGGGTATGTTGAGGTCCAATATCTTTCGGGGGAGGGGAGGTGGGGGAGGCGATGCAATCAATCCATTAAAAAAAGACCGAAATCCTGAAGCAACAGCTAGCTGAAGATTTGCAATAATAATAATCGTAATGCTTATATAGCGCTTTCCATCGTATCAACAATCTCAAAGCGCTTTACAATTATTCCCCCGTTCATCAGGCCATGGGACCACGCGGCAGCCAATATCAGCGCTCAATCGGTCCTCGACCCTCACAGGTACCCATTTATACTCCTGGGTGGAGAGAGGCAATTGTAGTTAAGTGTCTTACCCAAGGGCACAAACACCATGTTCCTGGCAGGATTCGAACCCACGCACCACCGTGCATGAGTCAAACACCGTAACCACTGGACCATTACGTCAATAATGAGTGATGTCATTATTCTGGGAGTTAACGGAATTTTTTTTGAGGGGGGGGGGGGGTAGCCCCCACACATGGATCCGAGTGCATTCGAGGCAGACATTTGATCTGGATGGCAGTCAACCACTTTCCTGCTTAAAAGTGCAGATGTCTTAACAACACGACCACCGAGTTCACTGAGATCTGTTGGCCGGTTCCGATCCGATTATAGCAGTAGGTACTGCACATAATGACTGTTGATAGAATCGCCTTTGACGCCTGTTCATTCGCTTACCTCACAAAATACTCGAGTCGCCATTTCCTGGTAGAAACTGCCGAAAATAATCCTGGCGTCGTGTTTCTGTAATTGCGGGGAGGGGAACATCTATTACTTATTCCACCAATAAATTATGTACTACTGAAAGTATAATTAATGGGTGGTAATACCCCTTTTGTCACTACATAACGAGAAAGCGTAAATTTGTGTGGCAAACGAGTGTACAGTTATTAAAATACATGTAGTTGAAGCGAGAGGTTATGTTATTATATTGATATGGGCTTTAGCGCAGTATATTACCGTGGTCAATAGGCCTAGGCCTACTTGCAAAAATAATGGAAAGAAAGGATACGGATATTAACTCGTGCCCGGGATGCGTCCGTGACTCCGATAATCGCAACTCGTGCGTAATGGAACGGAAACAATCCCTCGTGTCGTCGTATATACCCGACAATCGAAAAGAAAAAATAATTGGACCCAACTCGGTTTTCACAACCCGAGCCCATCAATATATTTGGAATGGCAATCAAGCAGACCCAGAGGTGGGAGTTTTAGACTTAAAAAAAAATAACACATCGGAAAAAGGTTGTACATTTAAAACGAATGTATCGGAAAATGTATGAGGGGTTTTCGAAAAACGTGAAGTTAAGTTGTTGAACAAAATCGTTGGGAATTCATAATTTTGGCTTGTTTTGATTTTTGAACAGAAAAGTTAAGATTTTTCTTACCAAAAAGGTATTTATGAATGGGAATAAACATGTGCTTGGTCGGTATTAAACACTATTGTTTAAGACTGGTTGGAGTCTGAATGCTGATAATTTTAAGATAACTACTGTTTAAAAATAGTGTTTAACACCTCCCAAGCATACTAATATGTACCTGGAGGTTGTCTACGTTAGCGCTGGGGTCGCTGCCGGTGATAGCCTCCAACGTTGTCGTTATGAGGCCATTCTCCTTCAGTAGCCTGTCCAACTCTTCCATTCCCTAGGTGTGAAGTAAGAAATATTGAATTGAGATATTATGATGAACAGAATGTGGAAATATATATCTTGCCGCTGTGACTTCATTTCAGCTTCTAATGTCTAGGTTTTGTTTAGCCAACATCTTAATGAGTGGCCCGTGAAATTGTGTTTAAGCAATATTTATTTATCAGTTCCGTCCTTTCGTAGTGATAATTGTTTCTCTCTACACAGTTTGGTCTTTTCCTTTCGACGTTTTTGCTACTGTCAAAGGGACGATTCCTTTATTCTCCTTACCGCACGAAACAGGTTATAGTTCTGGAAGATGATGGCCGCTTTCTTCCATCCCATCTGTTTCAAGAGGACAATCCTGGCGGGGTTGAAGACCCCGGAGCTCGGGTAGATCTGCACGGTCAACGGGTACTTCTCAAGGTGTCTCTCGTCGGAGACAAACTGGGCGATGCAAACCTGGGGCAGGTTACAATGATAATGGTGGAATCGGTCAATGGTACTACCACCATTAATTCAGCTGCAATCAAGATCAATTATTGTTATTTGTTTAATTTTTTTCTGGTAATAAAACCAATGATTATGTGCCTACTGGCACAGTAGCTCGCAAGCCTGAAGAATCCTATAGAGAGAAGACAATGAGAAGAAATTACAGTTATAGATGTGGGAGGAAAACCCACGGAATGAGGTGTAGGACTGAAAACCCAATCCACGTGGTCCAGGTCGGAATCGAACCAGGGTCATATACCAGTGGAAAGCGAGGACAGTTATACCACTGCGCCAACCTGACTCCCTCTTAGAACTTACTCTTAACAAGTCCCGGGTCATGATTCGACCCAGATCCGGATCACATTCTGACCTGATGACCGTTTTCTTACCGGGTTAAAATGACACTGATCTGAGTCACTTTCAATCAGGGCCATTTGATCCGGAAAAGTGTCGTTTTGACACAAAAGTTTGACCCCGACAAGTGTCCATTTGACTCGGAAATGGTCATTTTGAACCCCGAAGAGGGTGAGGACAAATAAATGATCCTCCGATCCGGTATCATGCCAAAAACTGTCCGGTGGCGAAATAGTGTCCGCTGAACATGCGCAGCAGACGCAGGACACTATTGGTGCTAAATAGTGTCCGGGTGCTGTCACGCGGTGCAGCATGTCTATTGTCTACTATAACAGTAACTGTGAGTTTGTTTTAACCAAATACTGTCCGTTCGAGGCTGTAAGTACCTGGGTTCCTGCCAAATACTGTTCGTTTCTGCCAAATACTGTCCATTCTTACCAAACTGCGCGCTAAATACTCTTAGTCCTTCCAAAATAGTCTTACTTGCTTGCCAAATACTGTTCGTTCTTGATTACGAAACAACAAAAATGCAGGGTGCGAGCTGATTTCGAAAAGCGAAACAGGGACCAACACGAAGAGTTATGATTATGTTAGAAAGTGCTAAATCTTATGAAACAAAAGTGTTAAACGTTGCTATAAAATATGAGAGGAACCGCAATTTAGCAGAGAGGAATGAGTCGTAAATTGGAAACACGCCGTGCACGACGTGCTTCGACACACAGCGTTTGGCCAAACGCGAGTTTAAATAAATATCATGTCAAAACAAAATCAACAAATCAGTTGCAATCACGGATATAAAAGTCATCGTTGAAACAAATTATAGGCCCAGGCTACAGGGAAAATTAGATACAAAACGATTTCATCATTTGGCATTAGTGATCACATTTGTTTTTTGTTTTTTTACACACGGCTATACTCGTGTTCCAGTCAACAAACACAATGCGGTTAAAATGCGTTTGGCAAAGTGTTATCCAACAAGGAAGAATTTCTTGCACGCCTCAATCGAATTGATTGGTTTTCTCTTCTGTTCTCAGATGATATTGAATTCGTCTGGAGTGAATTTTAAACCAACTTTTCAAACACACTCAACTCCAAAGGAAACGAGGTTGAAACACAGAACAGAACCGTTGATTGAAGATGAGATTTTTTTATCAGTATTCGTGAGAGAAACAAGTTATTTTCAGATTTCCAAAAACCCCGTGATGCTGCTTAATTTTAAAAGTTAAAAAATTTGGGGGCATCCCCCCTCAATTCTTAATCCCATCAGTGTTAAAGTGAAACATAATGTTCACACCTTATTAGACGTGTGTACCCACAATTAACACGTTATGAGACATTTGCCGTTCGCATCCATGCTTTATACTCGCCGTTCCTAAAGCGTTTACTTACCCCGATCGGAGATCCACTTATCAGAATATACCCCGAGGGAAAGGCATTACAGACCGAGAGATATTCTTTTGGCCCTAGCAAGTGCATTTGGTATGTTCGTGTGAGCAAGTAAAGTTGTGATTTGCACGAACTGCAAGCATGGGCCTCTGTATAAACATCACACTATCTGTGCCATTGCCTTGTGTTAAGCCAATATCCAAATCGAAGTTTGGTTGAACAAATATGGCTGTATCTTTCTCCAAAGGTAATGCAAAGTGAAGACTATTTGGGGAAATCAGTCTGTCCATATTTACCGTGTAGAGAGACCTACTTCGCTTTCTTGTGAAAAGAAATAAGACCTTTGAAGCAGCACGCGCTCGGGACAACGCAAATTTGGTAATAACATTGTCGTTGTTATTGTTTGAAACAGTCACGTCTCATGCATGCGTGCTCGGGTTCACGTACTTACAGGTATAAATAATCATATTGTAATTTTCGTGCATTTTGTTCGTTTCCAATAATAACACCACTCAAAATCCAAGGAAGAATGTTCAAAACTTAACCTGTTGAAGTTTCAGCTCAGTCGATAGGCCTATTGCACTTTTTGAGAAAGCAGCGAAAAACCACGGACAACCTTTTAACACGAAACACAATTTCGTGCACAGCACTCTGTATTTCTAAAGATCAATCAATTATTGACTGATCGTTGGAAATCACCTATACAGAGTAAGTAAAAAAAACACCGAAACCCAAATGGCAGGACCAATTTTTGAATGAAGTTTTGCCTGAAGTACTTTCAAAATCTAGGATTTGAAAGCCCATCATTAAGCTTTCTTTTGGTGCAAGAATCATTCAAATCACTCATGTACTTTTCAAGTTACTTTGAACACAAACATCGTTTTAAAGTTCTGTCCACTAATAAAAAGAGGTAAGTGCTTTTTCAGCAAAACGAAAACAATTCTCATAAGGATGCATGTGAATTGTTTTCGTTTTGCTGAAAGAATTCTTGCCTTTTTTGTGAGCCTTGGACAGTGCTTTAAAACGGTGTTTGTGTTCAAAATTCCCGTAAGTTAAAAAAGTACAAAAAGATTTGAATGATTCTTGTACTGAAAGAAAGCTCACTGATTGGTCTTTCATATATCCTGGATTTTGAAAGTGCTACAGGCAAGGCTTAATTCAAAAATTGGTCCTGCCATTTGGGTTTCGTTTTTTTTTTACTCATCCTGTAAATTGCGTAATTTCTTCTTAGTAACTGCAAACGAAACGGAATAATTTCATGGGGTGTTTAGTACCAGTATACGATCTTTAATCCAAGTCAGCTGTATAATAATAATAATTCGGCACGTTATATGCCTTCAAATCAAATCAAATCAAATCAATTCGACATCTACAAATGTATTTCACATTGACATCCTAAGTGACAATTGACAATTCATGTATGCACAAAGAAAAATATATGTATATACAAAACATTCTTCACAGACGATATGCAATTGAGTGTAAACATTAAAATATGTCAACATGGAGGAAAAAAAGTGAAGCACTGCTTTTGTACCTTTCCCTGGGAAAGGATCAAACTTAATCAACTACACACGGACTAAGACAGGACAATAGGTTTAAGAGTGAGACCCGGTACAATATGTAAAATAATGACTAAGCACAGCAGAAAAGAACTTTTTAAGCCTAAGTTTTGAGGATCGATTTTTCCATTTTTTGGCAAATGAAACCACAGTAGTACACTCTTTTAAACCAATGTTGAGTTTATTCCACTAAGATATGACACCACGTTGAAATGGACTGTTTCTAAAAAAAAAAAAAATTAGAAAGAAAGTTCTGCATTGTCTCACAAATAGATCACACTTTCGATGAACTAGGTGCATCTATCATTCTTGCTTCGGAGCAGAGAGGGAGAAACGGCACGTTTCCCACGTTACACATGATGTATATTCTAACCCCCCTCGTAAGTAATATACCGAACGACCGGTGCATTAGCAAGAAGTGAGCTGACCCGTCTTCAATGCCAACGATGATGGTGATCAAGATGCAAGCGCGGCCATTAATGGACCCAACACTCAACCTAGCTGCCGGTCCTATTAATTTCATTACTCAATTCAGGTCAGAATCTAACTTAGACAAATTTTTGTTTCGACCTTAATGGGACAGAAGTCATCCTTTGGCCGGAGGTGGAGATACTAATAGGAAAGCAACTTTAATAGTGCGGACTATCAGAAATGAAAAACACGAAGTGTATTTTTTTGTGGTTTTATTTTAAAAAAAATCAGGTTAGGTGTTGTCCTTTGGGCAAACGGACCGCTGGATTCAGATGGAACTATCTGAATCAAAACACGCTCCGTGTTGGCAATTGAATTGAACACGCACGTTTTAAGGCCAAAGACAAAAAAGTTAAGTTTTACGGTTAAGAGAGTTGTCGCGTAGACAATGCCGGTGTTGCAATAATGAAGAAAAAAAATTAACACTGCTGGTGTTACTTAAACACCATACTTTGTTCGGTGTAACACAACCCTCATCATGGACTGTTTTGAAGCACTTAAAATATCCATTCCGAAGCTTCCATGTCCTAAATATAGTTTTCCTCAGTGTCCTATGATGGGGCAAACAGGCACAAATTACTTTGATGGCCTGCTGAAATCAAGAACAAATCTTCCGAGGATGCGCATTTATGAGACGTTCCTTTTAAACCTTTTACCTTTTACGTTCCTATTTCAGAGTTGTTACGGTGAAATAACGCGTGGAAGACCACGCATTTATTAAATCTCATCGGCGCGCCTTGAACAACTCGCGGGGAGAGCATAAATTTCATTTTGATGAAATACTCGCCTATAGTGCCTCTAAATTTGCCCCCCAAACAGGTGCAAATGTGGTCCTAAAATGGGTCGACGACACTAATCAATATTTAATCTCGTTATCGACGATTAATGAAATGGTATAGTAATGGACCTGTTTGCGCTTGCGCCAAACCTCTGCCCATTAATATCTCGAGTTCACTGTGAGGCTGTGAGAATATTCCATTCACGCCCAATTCAGGTCCTTCGAATTTTCTAAGTGAGCACCTCAGAACCTCAAAGATTCCAAGTAAGCATTATTAAAGAAGGGACCTCAAGGAACCTCAGAATTGGCCTAGGCCTTCAATGTTTAATATAATTTGTCGCCTTATCTGTGATAGCACCTCTTGATCAATGACGTACCACACAAGCATTTTAAGATTACACAGGCAAAATTAAACTCTACTGGGAGTGACTTGGTTTGAACACAAACCGCACGATGAGGTGTTCAACTTAATATACCTCACGTGTGAGGCACGGAAATCTCCCCTACGCCTCACCTGCACCAAGTTGTAGCGCCTGACCACCTCGTTCAGGACCTCACCCACGCGGGAATACACAGGGCCCCACGTCATCAGGAACTGGGGATTGTTGTAAATGAAGTCGTAGAATACTTTCAGGAAAGGGGCTGCAGAAACATCGTCTTCCACCTGAAGATAACAAGAAAAAAGAAAGTTCAATTTGGCTCAAACGAATTCAAATCAGGGGGAAAATGTATCAATACAAAATGGTTTTGTTAAGCGCAATCTAGACTCTTGCGCAAACTTACTGTATTTCATTCGAAGGATAATCAACTCAGGAAGGAGTTCAATAAGTTTGCGCAAGCGTATAGACTGCGCTTTACAGTTTCACCAACTAAACGCGTGTAACATTCCCCTTTCACTTTCCCTCGTAAATATAAGCTAGCTTGGCTTACTTGTTGACAAAGCCTTGCATGTTTCGGATGAAATTCAAGTGGGGCCATTAAGGTGAACATGAGAGTGTAATAGAATCTAAGATGAGCACAACTCGAGGTTAAGTTGCTTTCCTCCATCACAGCATCGCTCTCTTTCTTATATTCGACGAAAAAATGCCACTTACACGATGAAATGTGATTTTTTTTTTCAGAAGTAGCTCTTTCACTAGATAATTGTGGCTGTGTCATTGAACAAAGTCCCTGAATGTGCCGAATAATCCAGTAATGTGGCGGTGCATCCATATCCGGTTTTAAGGGCTTACGGGTGCAGGCCAATAAATAGGCCCGGAATTGCCTAAGCCAGCCAAATCACGATTTGCATGCCCTCAAATTCTCCGGTATTAGAGCATTCTGTGGGCTATGAAATTGAGGGGTTTTTTTTGGGGGGGGGGGGTAAAGAAGGGTGGAAGCCTTGAAGAGGACTGCGAGATCGTATTTCTGTGAAATTCGGATGAAATTATGCCCTAAAATTGCTCTATTTTACAATAGCGTGTAGACATCTTTCTTTCAAAATGGTGATGGGCTTCAGAACTACTTTTAGGGATTATCATCTTTGGATGGAATTTCCTCCCAAAAGTATTCAGTTACCCCCCCCCCCCCCCAAAGTAGAAATTGAACAGAATGCGAAAGATGATGAATTAAGCTTTTATTTGATGTGTGTCTCAAACACCTTGGAGAGTTGTGAGTATTTTTCATATTTTTGGGGAAGTGGGCATAATTATCACTGACGTCTATGGCAGTCAATTAATACCGGTCTACGTCCGCAACCTTATTATGAACACGCTTGGCGTCATTTCTGAATTGCGATCACGAGCCCAAGGCGTGTTTGCCAGGAACCTTTTTTCAACGAATGAGGGCGCTGTAACGAGCGCCATTTTAAACAACGGATACAACGGATTTGAGTTCAAGTTTTGTGACGTAAGTTAACATGTTGCTATAATGCACAAATTACAAAACTATAACTCCACACTGAAGTAAAGTTACTAAATGTTATAACATTTCCCCTAACGTGACATTTCTATGAGCGCAGACATTCTCTATATACACACACAAAAATTGTGTGTGTGTAGAGAATGTATGTTAAACATGCGGTGTAAAATTAACGCTATCTAGATTTCCATGATTAAACATCGCAGTTGTTGCACTGTGTATGTAACGACACTGTGATTCTTATTGGTTAATCAATAGGTTTTGCCCTTCACCTACGTATAAACACTGTATACTCAGTGTGTTACCTCCCGAGTGAAAGTTGGACAAAAATCACTCGAGTAGGACTCGAACCCACGACCTCCTGCTTTCTAGTGCAGACGTCTTATCACTCGACCACAGAGCTTGCGGATCGGTTGGCTGGTTCGCCTCTGATCCCGCAAGCTCAGTTGTCGAGTGGTAAGACGTCTGCACTAGAAATAGCAGGAGGTCATGGGTTCCAGTCCCACCCGTGTGATTTTTGTCCAACTTTCACTCGGGAGGTAACTCATTGAGTATACAGCGTTTCTGTACGTCGGTAAAGGGCAAAATCTAATATTGATTTATATCACCCCGACGCAAATTCCATCCTATGAACTTTTAAGGTTAACTGAACATTCTGTGGTGATGCGGACCTAATCTGATTTGTTTCAATGTGTTTGTTCTTGAGTTGTCCTCGACGTCGTTGTGATTCAATTTTGGGGCAGCCTGCTAAGTCTTTTTTCCCCATAATCCTGCAAACACGACTTTATTTACGGATCGGCCATATTAAATTGAAAGCGAGGTAAAATCTCCTGTTTTGGAACTTGCGAGAGGAAATGAAATAAAAGTTCAATACATACCAGTCTGCTGTGATGAATAATTTAAAATATGTGATTAAACGTACCCTAAAAAAAAAATTTTAAGCCACATTTTAAAAAAAATATTGAAAATAAGGCTTTGAACGCACTCCCATTATAAAATAGTCTGGCACCATCCCATTCGAATGTTTACAATTTGTAAAATAGATCCACGGAACACGACCGAAAATGGCATCCTCGCACATGCAAAGAAAAGCAACTCGAGCTTTGTTTGAGGCGGGGATGCAGTCGATTAAATAAAACATGTGCTCCTCGCCTCTTTCTTAGTGAGATTTTCTGTTAACTTTACCAATGTCATTTTGCATTCATATATTAAACTACGTAACCCAAAGCATTGAATGAACAGGCGAGATGTATTAAAGGGTAAATTACATTTGCAGACATTAAAAAAAAACTATCAAATTATTTTAAAATACCTCACACGACTGTTAGTGAATTATAGTCTGAAGCATCCTGTGAAATCTGTCACTTTCAAGAAAAATTGAGTTTTTCTATCAATTTCCAACGATGGTTGGCCAACAATCGTTGGATGGAAAAAAACCTGACTTTTTTCAAATACTGCTCCCAGTTTACTAAATTTAGTTAGAGTCCACATATTGTTTGCAATCGGTTAAACATCCGTGAATTGGTGCAAGCCAGCTGGTCTGGTTCCTTGAACTGACAACTTCCCTAACGTCTATAAAATGCTCCGTTTCGTCTGAAGTATAGGGTCAATGAACACAAAAACTTTAAACAGGTCAGTGTAACAATTTTTGCTATAAAATACTTACCCCCAAATCCGTTCATTTCTGAAAATTAAAGCAAAAGCGAGTGTTGTATATTTCCTTTAGTCAGTGAACTTAAGGAAACGATAGTAAGATTTTCATTTCTCACTCTTTTTGATTTCAGAGAAAGACCACCGGCCTGTATACGTAATCGGCCACGAAATTTATTTCATTTTACACAAAGGTCAATTCGTTTAGTTGGAGGACGTGTGCATTCGGTGGCTCCGAAGTTAATTTTGTGAAGCTTATTGCCTCGAGGAACAAACCTCGTTTCAGGCTCCGTTCCAGGGTACAGTCGCGCCGCCTGAACCAACTTTTTCCCAAGATTTGACTTAAAGATAGATTGCATCAATGGTCATTTTCTTTGCGTTTTCTTTGTTTCGTTTGAAGCAACAAAAGTGCTCAAAATCTAAAGACGGGTGCTTAACAACTAACCTGATGAAGTTTCAGCTCTGTGAATGCTGTATATTCCGAGAAAAACAATATTCTAGGATCTCGATTCAATTCAAAAGTTGCCGAGTCATGTTTTGAATTGCGCCTGAAATCAGCATCCAGGACACGTTTTTATTCAGTCGATTGCAGCTACGCAATGTCACGCACTGAACTGACGATTAAATGCAACCGTGCGTACGTGTGCGTCGTGTCAACGCTTGTGCGCACTCATTAAACCAAGTGTGCTTTTCAACAATAATGTCGTCAGTTATACTTTTTGGATAGCTGCAAATGATGTAGGGTGGCACCCTTGAGCATTTTTAAAAAAAAAATTAATGAAATATGGAAACTACAGCTGATGCCATAATGCAATATACTGTATATTTCTTAATATCCCCAAACCCACCACATGAAGTATCAAGACTCATGTTTTTATGGTTCACTACTCAATAACTAAGGCATCAAAATCCAGATTATGTTAAGCATCAATATGCAAATTAGCTGTCGAAATTATTTAAGTCAAAACTTTTCTTCTGAGGAATAATTTACCAAATGCGAGTAGGCTATGTTGTAACAGTCCCTGATTTCCAATAAAGCCACCAATAGCTATATACATGTATTTCAGTTTTATTAAAAATCACGAAAATTAACTTTTGCCACTGTCTACAATATTGTTTTAAATTGTATTGATCTCTCCTGAGAGAACAAGTTCACGCAAGTGTCTAGGCCTATATTTGCTTTCAGAGTCACTAAGTTAAATTTGCCACTCAGAAGATATGAATCATTTTGAAACACCACTTCATTATTTCTGTCTCCGAATTCCTGAAAAGTAAACAACAAAAGTAAGCCTTTTAAATTTGGCACTTATGCCGAAATGTTTTGCTTGAATGGAGCCTAACCGTGTCCACAGCGTTTTGTACATAATCATTCAATATTTTTTACCACTATCGAACTAGATCTGATCTGCTTCATGCTTCATGCTGTCATGCTTTGCCGTCTTTTAGTTTTATGCTGGCCCGTTTGATGATCATTAGCGACTTTTTGAACCGATACCGACTTGTTACCGGGTCAGTACCGTCTTGCCGTAATTGTTCCTATAATTGAACCCATTCTTTTCAATTTTACTATTTCTGGCCCGTTCATTCAATTTAAATTTCAATTTACTATTTTGCAGGGTGCCAGACCCACGCAACACGGACCTATTAAACGTATTTTTTTGAATGACCCGTACAGAAATAGTATAAGTAAAGAATCATCATGACCCCGTTTCGTAAGATTTGGAAGGGACACCGTTAGCGGCCTTTATCCGGACAGTCTGGCATGATCTATTCCTAGTATCCGAGTGGGCACCGGTCAAGGATAACGATCCGCCCCCTTGATTGAACAGCCGTCGCAGGTGTCACGCTCAAATTCATGGCAAAACCTCCAGATGGGGCCTTGTGTTATACTTAGTCCATCACGAGCAAAGGAACAAACCGTTTTTCCTTCTTGCACTCATCATTGAGTGGGGATTTTGTTTACGCAGATGGGGCGGACTTTTAAGAGTGGGCAAGGCTACCTACAATCCCGGCCAAAATGGTTGGGACACTTGGAATTTACCTTAGCCTCCAACGGTCACCAACTCCCCCGCTCCCCCGGTCAATGTTGTTCTCTCAAGCGGATGGAGCACACAC